GTCTCCACAGTATATTTAAGGCAGCAGAGCTAAAGCATTCCTCTGTTCACATTTATTCAAATGTCAGCAGAATAGAAATGGATTGAGGTTTCCATAGAAACCACTCATTGTTTCAGGTGTTTTTCAGAGCATTTTGTTCCATTATCTGTTTGGGGAAAGAAGGTACACGTTACGGCTTTTCTAAAAGGTTTTATTTTTTATTTTTATTTTTTAAATTTTATTAAATTTATTGGAGTGATATTGGTTAATAAGATTATATAGGTTTCAAGTGCAATAGTATTTTCTCTCCTCATTAGAAGCTGGTCAGTGGAGTCACCACATTCTTCCTTGAGTTCCTTCATTTTTGGCAGCCCGTGTTGCAGCCTTGCCCTTCCAGCTGAGAAACTGGAATGAGCTGTTTATAAAACCTAACAAATCCTGCCCATTAGCACTGGCTGTTCAGACAGCATTTCTTTTTTTGGCCAGAAAGGAAATTTGAAAGTCTAAGGCTAGAAATTTGTGTAACACATTTTAATATTCAGGATATATGTAGTCCCTATGAAATGCTGCCAGTACAAGAAGTCAAGGTCAACTGCAATGATCCTTGAACCCAATCAACAACAATAATGAAAAGGGAGCAGGGGGAGGATTTCATGGCATTAGTAAAATTTTCAGTATAAAATCCAAGACCGAAGATAATCAAATCTTTCAATCCAGATAGTAACTAATCAATTGCCTAGAACTATAAATTCTCTTCCCATAATGCAGGAAAAGAAATGAAAAAGGAAAACAAAACAAAACAGAAACCTCTTCGACTCAGAGATAATACAGTGACTCAGGTGTATTAACAACTGTCATGCTTTCCTGTAAGTTATAGTAAACATGGAAAGCTCCTAGTGGACGACAAAAGATATGGTTAATAAAGAAAAACCAACGCAAAATTAAAATAAATAAATAAATAAAATAAAAAACAACCGCAACATATGCCTTAAAGTAACAGGGTAGCTTGGCACTGCTGAAAAAGCATGCAATGGACTCTGAAGTCTGACAACTCAGTTTCCATCTCACCATGGCCACTTACTGCTTAGGATCTTGAATAAATTCCTTAATCACTACACAAGTCAGTTTCCTCATTTACAAAGAGAGCATAATAATTCCTATCTTGCAGGGTTGTTGTAAGGATTAGTGGTAATGGACAACTTTTCTTCTTATCAGCATATTCATTATCTGAAATCCGGCAGTCAGGAGGTAGTACAGGGATGCACAGTCTCTCATATCATGAAAACAATCATGAAAGAACTAACCTCATAAAATTAATATCCATCTATATGTTTTCCCCAGCATAACACAAGAATCTCAGTTTGCTTTAAATTATTTGACACTCTTCAGTTGATTATTTGAAATGTACCATATCTCATGCAATTATAATGCTCATCGATAACAAATTAATAAGGAATTTCTTGAGAAGGTACCGAATTTCATGAAACATAAAAATAGTGATGAAGAACTGGGGACAGAGATGGCATGGACTAGTGACAGACCCCACCTATTCGAGTACTAGATCCACCAGTTTGTAGTGCATAACTTTGAACAATTACCTTAACTTTTCTGTGCCTGAGTTTCCCCATCTATACAGTAGAAATTATAACACTATTTACTGCAAGTATTTGTTATGAGAATTGAATAAAGGTAATATTTGTAAAAGCATTTAGCACAATGCTTGGTAAATCATAATAAATACATGAGTGTTTATTGAGTAAAAATTTTTAAAAACAACACAATAACTCCATAACAAGGTCATTTAAAATAAAGTAGAATGATTCAAAACTGAAGAGAACCAGAAGGCTCATAACGGGATGGAAACAACAACAAATAATGATTTGAATATCATAGGAGCTAAGATGCATTTGAGAAAAATGGATGAGTGCCTGATTATTTTCATACACAAAACAAATGATCATTTTTTGTTACTGGGCAGCTAACGTCAAAGATGAGACTGTGGTGGCTAGCTGGCTTTCCAGATGGCATCCAAGGAGCCCCACTTGCTGGCATTCACACCCTTCTGTAATCCCCGCCTCCCACATTGTACTGCGCTGGGTCTGTGCAACCAAGAGCAGAAGAGATGGTATGTCACTTTCAAGATCAGGTTATAAAAGACACTGCTGCTTCCATCTTAGTCATCCACTTGCCCATTCTCTGTCTCTCTAATCACTCACTCCTGAGGAAGACAGTTGTCACACCACCAACAGCCATCTGGAGAGCCCAGGTGGTAGGCTTCTGTCCAAAAGCCTGAGAAAAACCAAGGATTCTGGCCAACAGCCATGTGAGCTTAAAATCGAACGCTCCAACCCTGTGAAAACTTCACATGAGAAACCTTCAGGTGACTGCAGCCTCTTCTGACAGCTTGTCTGCAACCTCATAAGAGAGCCTGGGCCGGAATCAGCCAGCTAGGTTATTTCCAGATACCTGTGCCACAGAAGCTGTGTCAGATAACAAATGTTGGTATTTTGAAGCTAGTTAGTTTGAGCGTTATTTGTTATGCAGCAATAAATAATTAACATGGGAGCGAAGGAACCCTCATGTGGTATTTTGCAAATTCAGTCAAAAAATTACACCTCCCATATAGATGTAATTTACAGTGTTTATTCCAAAAATTAGCAGATACTGTTGACCTTCACTTATCAAGATAAAAACTTTTCAAACTTTAAAAAATTAATAATTTTGATAGCTCTTTAATATACAAAGACCTATATAATCTGTATGTTTCTTACTTATCTCATCTTCTGCTCTAGCCTCTTTCTCTCCACTTCATCCACACTGACTTCTTTTATATTTCTAGAACTTGCCAGGCATACTTTCACTTCAAGGCCTTTGCACCAACTCTTCCTGTCATTTCAGTTTCTCTTCCCCAAATACCTGAATCTGTCTCTCACCTCCTTCAAGTCTTAGCTCAAAGGTCTCTTTCCCAGGGAGGTCTAGCCCAAACACCTGAGTTAAAATTGCAACCCGAGACCCTCACACTCCTGACTCTCCTTACACTGTTTTATTGCCCCATAACATTTTTATTAATATTTTTTGTGCATCTCTCCTCACTGAATGCCTGTTCCATGAGAGTGGGAATTTTGTATATTTTCTCACTTATGTACTGATGGATCCTCATTACGTAGAACAATACCTGGCACTTAATAGGTGATCAATAAATATTTGTTGATGAAAGCTTAGGAAGTAAATTTAGTTCAAATGGTTTTTTAACAGGACCACTTGTGCTGGGGTAAGGATGACTGTCTATGTTTAAGTTTCCTGACTCAATAGGTTGCCAATAAATAGTAGTTATCCGAATACAAATCGTTATTGGAGTGTTCTTGTTTGTTTGTTTGTTTGTTTGTTTGTTTATCGAAGTATTAGCATGAGTAAATTACGAGAAATGGCTAGGCGCAGAGAATTACAGAAGTTAACATGAACGTTGATCTGCAAACTATCTAAATTAAATCTTGATCACCATAAACTCCCAGAGCAATATATCTCATCATACACCCATGCAAAAAAAGCTTCCACGTCTTTACTGTTAATACCCAGAACAGATGTCCTTTATTTTTATTACCAATTTTGCTTCAGAGAACAACATGACTCACTGCACCTAGGTAAAAACTAAAGACATAAATTAGATGGTGATTCTAAAACGTTTGGGGTCATGATATCAATTTTAAAGACTTCCAAAAGCCTCGTTTAGAAACGGTTATAATAGAAAAGCTTTGCAGAGTTGCCTTAGTGGATGTATGGCCTGTGCAGTCACACAGGATCCAGTGTTTAGAAAGACCCATCGCTTGGTTTAATGTTCTACTGTTCCTGTTTTGAAATTATTAATAACGTATGAATAAAGGGCCTCCATTTTCATTTTGCACTGGGCATGCAAATTATGTAGCTGGTCCTGAGGCCTGGAGAAGATGAAATTACTCAGTAATATTGAGTACTGACTACTCAGTTTCCAAGGAAATAAGCAGAGATGGCGTGTCGAGAAAGGCATTTAGAATTTTCTTTGAGATTGATACCCCAGCCCTCTTCCCACTTTCCCCCTGTGTGAGAACTGGAGAAACAGTAGCAGCGGTGTACTCGGTGTACTCGCATGCTCCTCAGAGTGTGACCTGTGCTACCAGCAGCAGTAGCAGCAGCCCCTGGGAGCTTGTTAAAAAGGAGAACCAAGATTCACGCCAGAACTGCTGAATGAGAATTTTGATTTCCCGTGCATTTTAAAATTGAGAAACAGCTGAGCTGTTCCAAGAGTCATCCAGGACCTGTGATAATGGACATTTGAAGTCACCCAGTCTCTTCGAAGAGGATTTTCCCCACTTCCACCAGAAAATCTTTAATCCAAATTGGGATGTTAACTGATTTGAACATTTCTTTTGTTCCTTCTATGAACTATTCTCTAGGATTGGATTAATATAAAGTGAAATAGTTCCAAAAAAATAAAAACAAGAGGAAGAAAGTGTGAAGAATGTGTTATGAATTCAGTTGAGCAGGTGCAAAGCAGTGTGCAATAACCAAGGGGGTAGCTCCTTAAAAATAAATAGCCAACACTGAGCAAGTAAAATGTGCCAGCCATTTTGCAAAGTGTTTTACATGGATTATTTTATTTAAATTGTACCATAAACTTGAGTGCTATCTCTATTTTCCTGTGCAAGTGGAGAAACAGGCTTCAAGAGTTTTGAAATGGCCAAAATATAATACATCAAGAAGTTGTACATTATTTCCACAACTGTACCTTTTTGTTACATATTGATAAACATGTGCTGAATGAATGCCTTTGTGCAAGTTCGCAAACATTATTTCAGAATTAGTTTTTGAATGTGAAGCATCATTGCAGAAGAAATCTGACAGGATTAATGCCAAGTTAAATTCAACTACTACCTAAATCTTTCAATTTGAGGTAAAAGGAAGAAAACTAAAGGACTTAATTCTGGAAGTGCACATCACCCAATAGTTGGTATTTGCATGTTACTGTATAAAGGACCCTCAGTCTTGTCTCTGATCGATGGATGATGAAACCAGAAAGCACGTGGACATATGCCCGATGCTTCTACCCCGCAAAAGAAGAGAATCTCAGTTCTCGGTTAAGTGAGCAAAGGGAACTGAGGCAGCGTCAGTCTGCAGGACCGCACACCCCAGACTGGTCTCCCGCCCAGCAAACCCGGCGAGGAGGCGGAGCGGAGGAATCGAAAGGGAAACCGACGCGGGCGGGCGGCTGCGGTATGGCGCTGCGGGCCCTGTGGCACCTCTGGCTGCTTGGCTGCTGCTGGTGCTGCGGCAGTGGCCGTGGAGCCGGTCCCGGTCCCACCTTCGCCCGCCCTGGACCGCGGAGCCGCGAGCGACAGGCAGCCGCCTTCCGGGTACCACCGCGCGCCTCCCTGTGTGTCTGTCTCCTTGCCTTTTCCTTTCCCGAGTCTGGGCTGGGGCAGAGGGGTCACCTAGAGTTGCCACTCCTGGTGGTCCCCTTGCCCTCAGTTTTGTGACGTGTCTGGGGTTTCTGAGCTGGGTTTACGCCAGCAAACTTCTTCCGTTCCCCACGTGCCTGGATCTCACTCTCTCTCTCTGTCCTATGCCTTTGCTAATCGTAAGATTTTTTTCCAGGAAGGATTTGTGGCTGTGGATTTATGATGCACCCAAAGTAATTCATGAAACATGTCCAAAGTATTCTTGATTGGAAGAAGCACTCCCTTTTAGCAGAACCCTTTGACGGTTCTCACCCTTGCAAAACTGTCCCTTTAAAAAGTAACGGGAACCAGAAATAAGCGGAAGGAAAATGTCATTTTTCTTCGACGTGGGGAGGGGGGACTGATAACCTCCTTCTGTAATCAGAATTTTATAAATAAAGAGCCTGCATTGAGCAAGCTCAGAGGATTCTGTGCATTTATGATTTCCCTGAACTGGGTCTCTTTAGGCTCATGCACCACCTTAAAAGTTCACCTAACGGTGGAGACTGATTGAAGCATTTCATTTCTTTTTCTGATTATTTTGAAAAGGCCTCATAATATTGTTTAGATTTTATACCAGCATTAAAACACTGGTACGGACAAGTTAGCTGAGTATAAATAAGGTTGATTCGAGAGAGGACGAAATATTTTTTAATGTCAAAATGACATGTTTTTCCTAGTTTTATCATCATAAAATAATTTCCTCAAGTTCTTTGAGCCTGTATCCCCTTCCAGACAGGAATTGGGTATATCTTATTGTAACTCATTCAATTAAATGCATTCGGTTAAAACAAAACAAAAAATATGTAAAGATAATTATTTTTCACCAAATCTGTTTAAAGGCTGTTTTGATTTATCAGCTCCCATTTTTCAGGTATGTGATCCATTTGTTTTTCAAACTTACGCACTTTTGAAAACTGCTAATAAGTTTCCTGTGTAATCCCTAAAACTTTATATCTTTCCATAAAGGAAATTAAAATTCAGCTCCTTCATTTTAATATTTTATACAGCTTTAGGGATGTTTACTATGCAGTTGATCAATATTACATCCTCCATTGTCTTACGTTAAGAACCTATGCTAGTTAATCCTTTACCTTTGTCAATTCTATGACAGGTTGTTATTATGATGAGGAATTGGAGCTCAATATAGACTTACAGTTTGTGATGCTTCTATGAAATCTGCTCTAACAAGAAGAATCAGAGTAGATTAGAAAAGTCACTTGAAAGAGTAGTTCATTTCAAGAATGAAATACAGGGTTTTTTAAAGATTAAATGATTTTAAACCACTGTTGGGTGGACTTAAGATGTGTTCTATTAGAGCAAACAGGAAGTAATTATTCATGGATATATTGATGCGATGGAAGCAATCTGTGGCTTCTCTTTCTTTTCTTTCCTTTTTTCCCCTCTTCTTGCAGAATTGGTGGCTGTGAGAGCAGATGGGTAGAGGGTCACGGAGAGCTATCTGACTGCAATGAAGCTCTGAGTGAAGGAGAGAGGAAAGGAAGGTTGGGGGAAGTGCTCTACACTGCTGTGCAGGCCAGGGAAGGATTGGAGAGGCCGTTAGGGACCCATTAATCAAAAACCAGCTTCCAGAGGAGTGCCATTTCTCCAAAATAGGCCAGTCTGACTGTTCAGTCAGTCATTGGCTAGGTGCCGCCTGTGGGAACCATGGCCTCTCTTGGTCTAATCCTGGTAATACACGGCGCAGAAGTTAAAATCCCTGTAGTTGTTGGTCTGTGAGGCCCATCTCAGGGCTCCCACATCGACCTACAATGTCCTACATTGTCAATGCCTTCTACGGTTACATCAGCTCACAAAGATGACCAATCAGTACTTTCAGACCAATCAGAGAATAAATGAATTCTCTGGACTACTTGGCAAAAGCCATCTCTGGCTTGTGTTTCTTACTTGCCATATACATACTTGTTTTGTGTTTCAGTTCTATTCTTTGTATTTATACTTCTCCTCTTCAAGTTACCTTTAAAGCTCTGATTCTCAAGATTATTTTTAAATGCTTAAAGCTCAATTTTTTTTTTTTTACACCTATAGCACCTGGTAGTCCTAGGTGGTCTCCCATCCAAGTACTAACCAGTCAATAATTTTTTATTACTTCATTTATTAGCAACTGTTCCAGGCACGTTCAATAAGGAAAAAATAAGATTATGATAAATCCTAGTGATAATTCATATAAAAATAAACTGTTTAAAGCTCTTAAGGGCGTGACATATATAAAATGTCACATATATTTATTCAGCAAGAGATATTAATTAAGCATCTATCGTGTGCCAGGCATGTACTTGGTGTGTGAGGAACACAGTGATGAATGACAGACAGGCCTTACTCTCATTTTGCATATAGGTTTAAGAGACAGACACACAATAAACAGATAAATGCATAAACAAATACAGAAGAGCTAGAGTTGGAAAAGTAATAAATGGTGGCCCCCTGAAGTTTTATTTATCCTAGTTATTTGGATAATATTAGGAAATTGAGGCATGTTCTCATAAAAGATAAACCTAAGATAAATTATCACAAAAGCTGAGGAATCTAAATAATGCTAATAGTTTCCATCCAGCTAGACAAACCAACCTGTCTTCCTGGACCATTTCCAAGGTTTTACCTCTTTCACAAAGCCTAGGACCCTAAATTTGATAGAGATCAATAAAACTCAAATAGAATCAGATTTAGTTATTCATTATTTACTCATTTCCTTTTTCATACTTCATTACTTAGTACTGGGAAATAAAAAGATAAAGAAGACACTTTCCAGATTCATAACTGTTTAATCGCCTGTGTCTGTTGGTGACAATTTCCACTAGTACCTAGTACTTACTTGCAATTTATTTTATTTTTTCCATTATGTTAAACAAACATATTTAGTGCTTTCAATGTGCTAGTGAAAAAGAATTACAAATGAATAAGACATATCTTTCCTAGCCTCAAAACTAAACCTGAAATCAGATAATAGTTCTAATATAAAACATTTATAAATCTGATCTCATTATCGTATACAATCTCTCTTAGTGCTCTTCCGGAATTAAATCAAGCTTTGACTTTTTCATCTGAACAATATCTCCAAGTTAGTTCTACACAAATTGTTTTGGAAAGTTAATGTAGGTGACATAAATTAACTTTTTTTTTCTTTTAGGAAAGTCTTAATAGACATCGATACTTGAATTCTTTATTTCCTAGTGAAAATTCTACTGCTGTTTATGGAATAAATCAGTTTTCGCACTTGTTTCCTGAAGAGTTTAAAGGTATGATGCAATGATGCTATTAGTTGTTTGGTTTCCTGATTTTAACTTGTTTCCTTAATTTTTGAAGAATTGTTTGATTGCAAATCTAGAAAATTGAGTAATAGTTAATATTTATCAAATAATTACAAATATCAAGGATGTACAAGGTGCTGACAGAAAAATAAATTTATGGCCACTTTCTAATTATTGCTTAAGACTAGATATTATAGGTACAGACATTTCCATGTGGCTGTTGGGACAGCGCCTCATTTCTTCTTCAGTTTTCCAGTGCCATTTCTGTTCAAGTCCCCCATGGTTCCGTGAGTGACGATAAAACAAATGATGCCAATTACACTCATTTTTTATTGACCTGGTTCTATCAAACAAGTCATTTTATATGGCAGCTCCAGCCCTATTGCAGGAATTCTTCTATAACCTTCAGTTGACTGCATTTCATGTTATGGAAAAGCACATGGAAAAATCACAAATGTCAGGCTCTATTAAAAAGCTACTATTTCTGTTTGAAAATGTCCTCCAAAAAGAACCCCAAGGGATCCTCTCTATAATATAATATTACCTTTTTGTTTCATTTTCTATTCAGCTATTTATTTAAAAAGCAAAACTTCCAGATTTCCTAAATACTCAGCAGACCTGCTAACAGTCATCTCCAAGCTGCCTTTGCCATTAAGATTTGACTGGAGAGATAAGCATGTTGTAACACAAGTGAGAAACCAGCAGATGGTAAGTTTTAGGGATTTTTTTTTTCTTTCTTTCCTTCTTTTTCAATCATCTTAGCATGGGAAGTCGTCTTTGAAGTCAAGGTCAATCAAACTTGTAATGGAACCCATCATTTCTCTAGGTAAAAATCACACCCCAGTCATTCAAAAAATGGCAATAAGAGGAGAATTTCTGGCGGAATGAGAAGCAGATGTCAGTGCCCGACTTTTATTCTGAGATGAACCTTCCTTGCTGTATTCGCTCTCTAATTACCATTGCCACCAGCACACTGGCTCAAGGGTGCTTCCCAGTAACTGTGTCAGTTAGCAGACCTTCAGTAGAATAGCAGGTGGAAGGCTGAGGAAGGTAAACTTTACTACTAAATGCTTAAGTAGTATAAAAAGGAAATGACACTGAAAAAGTGACATGATACCAGATACACTTAGCAACGGTGTAGCCTGGTCTCCTGGGTTCTCAGGCCTCATCCCTTGAGCTCTCTGGAAAATCCTGTCCCCTACAAGATCGTACACTTTTTATCTGCAACTCTTAGAAATGCAGTTAGTTATACTATAATGTGACATATACATTCCTAAAAATCACCACCTGTGCAAAACCCTGCAGCAAAAACAAAAGATGTTATGGGAGAATGAGTTTAGGGCACAGCATTTACAACCTTAGCGACACATTTAAAAAAGATAGAAAGTAGTAAAAGTAGCAAGACAGTTTTCCACATGTTAAATGATTAAGAAATATGTAAGTACCACCATAAATGCAGCAATTTACCTTGACAAAAACCCGAAGTGTGCCTGTGGCAGTGGGCATTGGAGGTCTGTAGCCTGTGCGTTATTGTGATGGATGGAGGGTTATCTGAAGTCAGAAGGTAAGCGATAATACCAGATGTGGGTGGGTGTGCTCATAACACACAGTGAACCAGTCTCGCTGGTGACGTTCGAGGGGTGTGTATACCTGCTTTGCTGACATTCTCTAGCCCTTTGCATTCCCATCATTGGCATAGGGAATGTCAGATGACCAAGGAAAGTCAATCCTCTAATCGCATGGGTATGGTCTCGATTTGTCTGCATTGGAAACCTCAACAGGTCATTCATCCTCTCATTGTATGGCAAGTATTTTTTTTAATAAAAATGTTTTTCAATTACAGTTGACATACACTATTATATTAGTTTCAGGTGTACCACACAGTGATTAGACGTTTATATAACTTACAAAGCGATCACCCTAATAAGTCTAGTACCCATCTGACAGTGTGGCAAGTATTTTGGACTCAGCAGTTTCTCAATCACCATTTATTGAGGATGACCCTTTTTTATTTCTCAGATTCTATGTTGCCATGAATTAGATTTTACCACCAAATCATTTGCTTTATTATTGGATTCATAATCAAGTGTGAAATAGTCTGAAATCTAATCCTTCCAGGAATGTTTACATTCTGTTAAAGGGAGAATTTTAATTAGGAATCTTTAATTAAAGGAGTATATTGGAGAGATATTTTTGGACAGAAATGCCCTCCTGGGGAAGCCAAAAGTAGATAAACTAAAGCTAGCTATAGATAGGATGTCGGCAGCCTGTATTCACATTTCTCAAGGGTGGAGATTCTGCAGCCGAGTCCCTGAGTATTTTACTATGCCGTAGGCACTGGAGATCTAGACGTAAATAAGGCCACTTGAAGCCATAGAGTTGCTCAAAACTTCCTTCCGCGATGACATCCAATTCTTCTTTTCTTTGCTTAACTCTGCAGCACATGGTCCTGTAACTAAATCAGTTTCACCCAATTTCAAATCCCACAATCACCTCTGCCTTTTCCATGGATTCGTCTTTCTTGTGCATGATCCTTGATTCCATTTGCTCCATCTCCTCCCTTTCTTTTGGGACCAATCTTTTTATTCTTTTGTTCTAGTTTGTCCAATAAAAGCAAGTTAATAGATCCTGACTCACGATGATTGCCAGCCAATATTCGAATGAGGAATGACTAACGTAGGTTTTTATTATTGAGACATTTTATGTTCATTCATAATACGCACATACTAGCCTCTTGATAGCCTAAAAAGTAATTCATTCCGCTCCTGTGTCTGTCAAATAATGAGTACAACATATACCACATACATCCTCACCCCACTTCACCTCCTGTCTTCCACCCTTAAGGTAGAGATGGTAGATAACAGAGAATCATAGTGTCAGGGGTGAAACAAGAGGGATTGGAGAATGGGGTGGGAGTTGGTACACTTCTTAAAAACAGAATCACCTGTTCAGTGAACTGACTAGTCTTTTAAAACACCATCAGTCTGGTTTCTCAGTCTCTAAAATTCATTTTTATCTGGCATTCTCTAATTTACAATAGTGATACTACTAATTTACCTTTAACTAATTATTAGAAATAACTAATTATTCTAATTTACAATAGTGATACTACTAATTTACCTTTAACTAATTAAAAGAGAATTTTGGTTTTCTTTTCTTTTTTTAATTTGGAAATTGAGAGGATAGGCATTTATATTTTGTCAGCCTCCAGATTCTGCTCACTTACTTGATTTGGTAACTTGTGATGTTGAAAACTGTTGGTAAATTTGATTCAAACATTTTTTGATAATGCTGTTTCATGTCTATTTTTAAACAGTGCGGAGGGTGCTGGGCCTTCAGTGTGGTAGGTGCCGTGGAATCAGCGTATGCAATAAAAGGGAAGCCTTTGGAAGACCTCAGTGTGCAGCAGGTCATTGATTGTTCATATAATAATTACGGCTGCAACGGAGGGTCTACTCTCAATGCCTTGTACTGGCTAAATAAGGTGACTGGTTTCTCAGCCTTTTAAACTCTTTGATTCTTCTTTTGCCTATTTAATGTGTGTTCAGGATCCAAACAGTTTACTCTCGTTTACTAAATATTGCTTTTAAGTTTAGAAAGTTAGAGGACCAAAGCTTGAATTAATTGAAAGATTTTGAAATGAATTGCTTCTCAGCAAGTCATCCATCGGGATCAAAGGGTGAAAAATCTTACCCGAAATCTGTTTTCCGAAAAATATTTACTTCTTTTTAAAAAATATTTTATATATATTTATATTTATTTACTTATTCTGATTACTTATTTCTTAACATTAATAGGTAAATGCTATTTTTCAATAAATGCTGTTTTCTTTTGCAGATACATGTCACATAGTGACTCAGAAAGATGAGAATACATTATTATCCATTTCCATTGAATTTCTGTATCTTAAGGTTAAAAGGGATGGTAGAGGTCAGCTAATTTAGTAACTCTTTATATACATGAAAAAGTGAGACCTGAGAGATGAGAGCATATCGCCACATCAGTAGCTGAGCCAGGTTTGCACCTTAAAGTACTCTGCCTCCTACTGAAGCATTTTACCCAGTGCACCACAGTGTCTCTTGGTATTCTTAGGGTACTCTTTGACATTGTCCTAGACCCCACATCGATTGTGTGAAACCGGCCAATGAGGGTGCTATAGAGTTCCCCAAACTAAAATATCCTCCCTTTATTCATTTGTTGTACTTGAGTCACTGAGTGCCAGAAGTTGCTCCATATTATGGGCAACAATGAATCATGTGTTCTCTCCCTTTCATACACCCAATAATCTGAAAAGGAATCGTCTGTATAGACAACTATAAAATATGTGGCATATGCCAAATGAATAGCACAGAGGAAAGTAGATAGAAAGGACAGGTGATCTAAACATTACCTTTGCATAAACCACTGGGCAGAGTGAGACTCAAAGAATTGCATAAAAACAGAGCCCCAAAGGAAAGTGGCTCCCTATTGTGTACTCTTAGGAGAAAGATGACAAGACTTTATTATCAGATTAATAAAGGTTCTAAAAAAGGAACATAGAGGAAAAACAACAAGCGTAAAAGAGAAATAAAAATATTGACTCTGCCTAGGATGTTCATAACAAAGACCTACAGATTGAATTTAAGATCTTAAAATTATCCAAAGAATACCCACACATCGAAGGTATGGCCAAGCTGAATCTTATTTTGACACATTGCAGCAAGTTCTGTTTGATTTTTAAAACAATGGCATGACCGAAAACACTCTCGGTGATTATTTTCTCTTAGACGCAAGTGAAACTGGTGAGGGATTCAGAATACCCGTTTAAAGCACAGAATGGTCTGTGCCTTTACTTTGCTGATACACACTCTGGATTCTCAATCAAAGGTTATTCTGCACATGACTTCAGGTAAATGCCTTATTCCACTGTGTTTTACTTCCTATTTCTTAATTTATGATCTGTTGACTTCAGAATTAATAACTTCATTGAAGGCATCACTGAATATTTGTTATTATTTTAAAATCATTTTACTAGAGAGACTGTCAGTTACTGTGGAGTTTTATGGATGTCATTGCTTAAATATGATCTGCTTATTTTTCCATGTGTCATTATAATAGAAATAACCTTAAATAACACATTTAAATCCAGTTAAAGATATAATTTATATTTACCACCTTCCTCTTCCTCAATTTAAGTGTCACAATTACAATTAGCATATTTCAGTTTTCCCGTTGAATTAATCGGAAATTGCTGTGTAGCTGCTCCAGCTAATATCAATCAGTCTGCTTACCGAGAAGCATTTCTGAACACACTCCATGTTCCTTGCATTTTCAAAGCATCAGCTATAAGACAAGCATAAACTGAAACTTTCACATTACAAACTGGAGATTGATTATGTAGCATATACTATACGCATGTTGTGAGTGCAAGGATAGATACAGATAGGCTCAGGAAGAGGACTCGTGTTAGAACTTGAAGGGCAAGATGACTTTGGACAGATTCAAGGGAAAACAATCATTAAAAAATGCTTTCACATCATATAAAAAACTCAAAGCCAGCTAGAAAACTATTGTGACCATTTGATATAGTGCAAAATAGGTGTTCAGGGATGATAAGGACAGAGGAAGACTCAACCAAAATACTTTATTTATTTTTTTAATATGAAGGGAGCTTTGCACAGTCTTTTGAAACAGAGAACACAGAGAAGTTAAATTCGGATGAGGTGATAGACTGCCCTATAACTTTTTGGTATTGAATATAAAAGAATCTTTTCATCCAGATAGTATCTACCCATGGGACCTGAAAGGAATCAGTGGTGAAACTGGACCCTTGAACAAAATAGAACTCCTTTAAATAAGCATGTATGTGTCAAAGGACTGGCAGACTGTCAACAGAGCTCCTGTCCACGAGTGCTCTTGGGTGACCGGGAAGCTTCAACTCCACAGACGACAGGCTACACAGGATCTATAATAAAATGTGCAGAGTCACTGAGTACAGTGGTCAGCATCTCTTTTGAGCGTAAAGATGACACATTTTTTAAAATGAGAAAGTGCCTCTGTAAGCTCTTTGATCCTTGAGGGTATAAGGGAAGCGTGCACACAAGAAGGAACTATATTATCAAAATTTCACTAAAAAGGGATTCAGGGAATCCCCTTGTCATGCATAGCAAATTGAAAAAGTTAGAAACAAAAGAATGATAGGCATTACTCTGAGTTGGAGAGTGAGAGAGAGAGAATGCAAAGGTCACTGGCATTGGGCCTATAACAAGATTTATCTAACCCTTTGATTTAACAGGAAGAGGTCACTATAAGAGGTTACATTTACAGTAACATTGAACTCTGGTAATATAATGCTAAGGATTAATAATATATCCATTATCAATGGTTATATTATTGGTGTACATTTCGATAATAGTTCTAGGTTGGGCTAATAATGGAAATAAAGATGCTGTTTGGAGTATATTTTAAAAGACCCCTTTTCTGAAATACAAGTGAAAACTATGTTATTCTGGCGCTAAATGAAATATTTCTCTGCTAGTTTCGACTGTGGTGTGTCTTCCCATTTCACAGTTCTCAGTATCTTTGATATCTTTTCTTTAGCCCTGCCCCAAAGCATGGATTATTACTAAATTGTTTCTTCGATCCTACACTACGAATTACCCTTTGCATTCTAAAAAGTATTTCTCCTTCTTGATCTTCCTCATTCCCTCATGCTGTCCCCGTAACTGAATCATTGATGTCATGTATTTACAGTGTATCTTTTGTTATCTTAAAAAGGTGGAGACAGCTGTGTTGATTAATATAGAGATTATCATGTTTGTCACATTAGGATTAAAAAGTATTTTTTTAATTGAATACAATGAAATATACACTAAAACCTATGTTGGGCAAAATTAGTTTATTAGATAACTTGGAAATGAGGGACGAAAACAATGTTTATTATAAATGTAGAGGATAATTTATGGGTTGGGCTTGCTACAAAATTTACACCTATAAATTTCATTCTTATACTGATTCTGCAAAGTAGGTGGAATGACTCCAGCATACAGCTGGAATTCGAACCCAGGTACGTGAAACTTTAAAGCCTATACCTTACTATGATGCCTATTAAGAATTATATAATTTTGCCTGTCTCAGGGTCATTTTAAGGAATACCAATTATTATTACAGTAGCAAAAATTAGAAATGACTACTCATACATCTCCCAAAAGCAAATCTTCAAGTTAAAAGATAACATGAATAAATGTGTAAAATGAATGTGTACTTTTTATTTTAATAAATTCCACTATTAGTCACTCAGTTTTCTCCTCATCTCTGGAGAAGATATGCCTATGAAAAAAATTGAAATCAAATGGGGCATAATGAGGGATTATGTACTCTCTCAAATGACTAATCCATCCATGTCTTGTTATAGCAAACTCCCAAATGCTACTTCATGGCCTGAAATATCAGTAACTTGGTTTCAGTGTCCTTCACTCACAAAGTTTACCTTTCAAGATGTAAATAATATTTTACTCACATACTTTCAAGATCAATGAAGGACAAATGTTATGTAACATAAAACTTTATCAAACAGATGTTCGTGTGTGAAAGGAATAGCTGTGTGTATTGCAGTCTTCACAAACTATACTAGTTCTTCTGGCATCTTCACATCTCTTCTATCATATAATTATATTTGCCACTTTTGAGTATCCTTTCCCTATAATTTCTATATTTGACATTCGGTAACATAACTTGGTCAGTCTCTTCATTCTCACTTGGTGTGGCAGAGATATCTCCATACATCCAGTCTTCCCACTTATTCTATTAAAAGGATCCCTGTATTGTAAGCTGGATACTTTGCTAGCTGCAAAACTCCATTACCTTTCTTTTTTTAAAGGTAGACTTAGCCATGTGACTGAGTTCTAGCCAGTGAGAGCCGTGCAGATAAATGCAGAATGTGTGTGTTACTTCTGGGAAGTCTCCTCAACAGGAATATATCACTTCTTTCTACTTCCTGCTGTCTAAATAAAATATGTGTTAAATGGCTGGAGCTCCAGCAGCCATCTTGGACCATTAGTTGACCTTGAGAATGGAAACCTCATACGGCAAAGCAATAATGTGAAAAGAGCCTCAGTGCCTGATATCCCGAAGCCTCACTGCAGTCCCCATCTTAGTTTAGGTCTTCTGTAATTGCCACCAAACCTACTTCTAACCATACAGAGATTAAAGAGGTTATTTTTTATAAAATATTCGTATACCTTAAAAACTAAACCAAATATTTCCTCTTTTGGTAGTGACCAAGAAGACGAAATGGCAAAAGCACTTCTTACCTTTGGCCCTTTGGTAGGGATAGTAGATGCAGTGAGCTGGCAAGATTATCTGGGAGGCATAATACAGCATCATTGCTCTAGTGGAGAAGCAAATCATGCAGTTATCATAACTGGGTTTGATAAAACAGGTAAGTGCTGATAAGACTTGATTGATTGCTTTCCAGCTTAAATTCTGAATGACAAATGATCTCCGTCCTTTAAAATGTTGAAATTTAATCCTGCTATATCTAAGTCCTCTTAAGACCTTTATAACTTTTTAGTAGACTTCCAGATATAAATAACCCATCATGTTTTCCCTATCAATTTTGGTGGAGATCTTGTTAAAATGATGATAATTCTTGAATTAAATAATGTACATTTTCCATCTGGAATGTTTAAGATAATTGTTGGGAAAATAGAAGTGTCTATTATTTTATCATACATACCTAACAATTATTTTTTTCCCTTTTCCTGGAAACATGTGTTTTGATCTTAAGTGGGCCCTGTATTAGATGAAATGAATTCAAACATTTTAACGTTAATTGGAGTATGATACTAAGTACAGCCCAAGTTTACTTGGCTAGCATTCCATTAAGTTAGCATTCCATTACAGTTTTAACTGTTTTCTCAGAGCTACTACACTGATCAAGAAATAAACTTTATATAAACACATATTCACAACAAATATGAGTTTGTTACCATTTTGTTTCATAGGAAGTACTCCGTATTGGATTGTGCGGAACTCATGGGGGAGTTCGTGGGGAGTAGATGGCTATGCCCATGTTAAAATGGGAGATAATACTTGTGGTGAGTTATAAATTTAAGTTTAAAACTTCAGACTAAATATCAAGGAAGATACTTTGAACATATTAAAATTATAAACCTGTCCAGTCCAAAATATACTGCCAATGTACTCAAATCACTTTTACAGCAATAGTTTTCATCCTTTATCAACTGATAAAAATAAAATAGTGTTTTAAAAAGAGACACTACTGCACATATTTACACTTTAGAAAGTAGTAAGACTGTAGTAAAAACAAATACATAATAAGTAAAATATTTTAAGATTAAGTAATAATCTACCAAAGTTAACTAATTCAAAAACCAGATAAACAATTTAGGAGGCTGAAATTCTCCAAAAACACCTCTTAGTTTCAAATTTACTTTTATAACTATATGAATTTTCCTTAATTTGCATACTATAATACTTGCTCAAGCATTATCAAGAATCACTTTTTCTTTGAATCAAAATGTATGAAAATGTATGAAAAAAACATTAGAATTGTTTCTGATTTAATATGTCCTTTGGCACCTGCAAAATTCTGATATAACACCCATGATTTGAGAGGATTAATTAAGCAAATACCAAACTTGCTCTTTTATAGAATAACAATTTCTTGTGTTAGTTAACCACAAACCAAAATAAAATAGCTAGTTAAGTATTTTAAACTGTACTGTAAAATTTTTATATCTAAATTCATATTCTAAAATTTTTGATCTGGAAAATCAACATATTTTCTGAATCAAGTTGAAACCAAACTGTATTGCATATGAGAATAATCACTTAATTTCTCATCACAATTATTTCTGGCATATATCCAACTTTTTAAAAAATTATAGAACCTTCCACGTTGTGAGACTGATGAGAGTTATAGAAAAGTTTGAGAGTTTATGTTTTGATTCAGTCAGTGAGCATTGTCTAATCATTCCATAAGATAGAATCCATGAGAACTAAAAAATGGCCTGATCTATCACTCCAGTAAAATGTTTTTCATAAATTATTTATTAAAGAGAGCAAACATCACAGAAATCTTTTAAGTCAGAACTCTAACAACTCAATCAGGCCTGCACTTTTTAGCATCGTTGGAGGCTTTTACATTGTTAGAACTTGCAGATAAATTACTTCTGCCATTCATTGAACCTTTGCTACTTAACATAAATTATCTCTGACTGTGATGCCTGGATCTGGGCTGAGGGGTGGCAGAAGCTCTGGCAGAAGAGTTTCAAGAACATAATTTGGACATTGGTTCATAATTGCCTCAGTTATACCTATGTATCATTCCTCCACGTCTTCTCTGGCCCCCAGCGACTGGGGGTGAATTGGAATAAATTCTCCTCTCTACTTGTTTCCCAATTTGATTCTCTGAGGGCCTGCCTGGTTAGTAATTATACGAGGATCCAAATTTTTCCTGAAAGTATTTCCTGAAAGTTACATAGTTGATGACAATCACATTACTCTTACGAACAATGTTATAAGGCAGGTAGCATTCTGTGTCCCCAAGAGATTTCAAAAATATAGCTAATTACAGTGAAATTTAGTCTTCAAATGGGCTATTTATTGTTTTCACCATGATATGGACATCTGTGCTATTGTGTGCTAAGAAAACATAGCAAATTCGTGATTTACTGAATTTTTGCTAATTAAAATTCTAATCTTAGAGTTTGAATTTTCAAATTGTATTAAAAATAATTCTGTAAATTATATTATCACCTCTAAGCAATGTATATGAGTGCGATAAAGATTTCAGACACATTCTCCTATTCAGTTAATAAGTCATTTGGGTTGTTTTGGGTTTTTTGGGTTTTTTTTTGTAGTTTCTTGAAACAAATTAGTCATCTCTTTTAATATCTGCTTTTGAGGTTACTGTTTATAATGACAGATAGCTATAACCATTAAATTATTTTTAATAGACACTAACTTTCTGAACCATAATGAAAATTGTTTTAATTTGCTATTTAAAAGGCATATAAAGAGGAAATAATTTCTTTTTTCCTAGGTATTGCAGATTTCGTTTCCGCCGTATTTATATGATATTTTGATCGAATCAAGAGGCAACTACAAAATGAAGTTCATAATGAAAAGTAGCATGGTACTTCATTCTTAGTATTACTCATGAAAGGTTCTAGGGCCTAGTAGTTATTTAAACTAAGTTGTAGAATGTTCCCTTCTGATAGGGAAATGGACAACCATAGTCAGTCAGAAGCACATCGGCTAGCACCACGGCCTGGGAGGAAGTCTGCGGAATAATTTCCTACTCTGGGATGAAGATCAGTTTAGGAGATATTTTAGGTGTCTTTGATTTGAAGAGACTAATATCTGGGTTTATTTGATTATTGTTTTTGTTTGTTTTGTGTTTATGTTTAATAGCATATTTCAAGTAGGGTTAAAAAGGTAGTAAGAATTTCTTTTCCTTTGTGGGATATAATCACCGCCTTAGCTTACCCCTGTGTACAAGAATAGCCAACCTAAAGCTATGTGTGCCTCTCACAGTTATACTCACAGCCCTCTGCAATAGAATTTCATAAAGATCTTGAAATGCCAATAGCTTTGCCTCAACAAATGCCGCTTACCCCTTGTACTGTAAAGAGATCGTGTAATAAGAAATAAAAACACAAAATCACTTTTTAAGAGACTGAAATTAAGTGACCAATATGGCAACTAAGTAATAAGAAAAAACTCAAGCATTAATGCCTGAGAGACAAATTATTGTTTGGATATTTTCATTGTCAATAGAATTCCAATAGAATGTATTTCTTACTTTGTTCTCCCCATATTGAGGGACAATGTATTTTCGTACATTTTTCCCAGTCTCTTTCTTACTATTCACTGTGATGCTGCTAAGTTTTTGTGGTGGTTTGGCTTCCCTGGGTAAGAAGTCTCATTATTTACTATTCATTTCTATTTTATAACCATTGATCCTGCTTCACCTCAGCCATCAACATCAGGCTCTCATCTTTCTCTTCCTTCCATCATTTGTAGGCACCACCCCTTTCAAAGTACAGTCTCTTTCATTTGGAGTATCAGCCAGAATATGAGTTCCCCAGCCTCTCTTGTTTCTCCCATTTTCTGCTTATGTTTCCAGGACTTCCATTCTAATTATTTTTTGTGCATCCATTTGGCTTTTTTCTGGATCTTGGTTCTTGATGGCCGAATTTTCTCTTGCCTAAGTAATTATGTGTCGCTGTATTAGAACCCCAGAGTATAAGAGCTGATCTTCTGATTAAATATAAAAATAACTATATTAAATAAATTAATATAAGAAAATCCTATCAAATACTACATATATTTCTTCTCTAAAATGTCTGGTTGCTTTATAATGTAAAATAGCTTGTATTGACTCAGGTTTAGAAATGTTCTAGAAAGACAAACATCGACATTTTAATTAATATTCTCATGATCTAAGTATACTAAAATGGAACATGTTCGCATTTACCGACTGAATTCTATGCAATATAAATGTTTTTCTGATACTTTTTCAAATGCTAAAGAACTTTTAAAATTAAAAAATGATTATTACCTCTCAGCTGCTCTGGATTTTGATAACATTTATAATAAAACAAACTATATTTGACTTTAGGTTAAGAAGACTCTGTCCATACGTGTATGGCTTATATTTCATGAACACAGTGTTACTGTGCTTTACATTCACACAAGAGTTTGCTCAACTCCAAATCTGTAATTTTGGTTTTCTCCATAGACACCTTAACTTCAGCATCTCCAAAACTCCATTCTCATCTTTTCTTCCCCTCAAAACAAAACAAAACAAACTTATTCACTTCCTAGAGGCTCTATTTCAGTTAACTGCATCAACGTTATGTAATTGCCCAATCAGTAAAATTGAAGGAAATTTAGATATTTAACTAGATCCATTGTACTTAATAACCGATCACCTAATCACCTGCCCCTCTCCATTTCTACTGTCCCTTGCTAGATGCATGTTCTTTAGTATCTTATCTCCACTGCTTAGTAGTCTACCCAATAAACCCCATGTTCCATAATCCAAGGGTTCTCTAAGTATAGTCCTCAGAACAGAAGCTACCTGAGGATTTGTAAACACTTTGTTTTAATAATCCCTCTAGATGCTTCTGATGGATGTCATTATAATCCATCTATTCTAGGTCCCCTGTTTCTTAAAGACAATGTTATATTATTCTCCTGTTTTAAACTATTTAGGGACTCCCCAATGCCAACTTTTTAAAATGAGGTTTCACAGAGAAGTCCCCTTCTACCTTCTCAGCTCAATCTCTGCTGTTCAACAGAGGCATATGCTGTGCTCCAGCCATCACAAACTACTTGAGGTTCACTCAGTGAGGCTAAGACAACAGCAGTGAAATTTCACATAATAATTAGGAGTCATAATGAAAATCAGCAAGATGTTCCTGGATGTGATCTTACAAAAATCTCAAAATGAATACTAAATTAGGCAACCTTATAATCACTTTGTGACCCACTTAAGAATTATTACTTAAAGTGTACCATCAGCACTAGAAGGAAGTTTGAATAAGGGCAAGGGTAGAAACTAGTATTACAAATTGTTTTGACATGTACATTAAGAATTACTGATATACCTTTTGAAAAAATACAACTCCATAGCTTTGGAATACCAAGAAATATAGATAAAAAGAATTAAATTATTTAGTTTGTTAAAGAAATAAACCTTGACAAATACTATTTATTCCAAGATTCCAAGGCATCTTGGTGACAGGAAAAAAAATTTGATTGAATAAGTCTTTGTACAGAATGATATATTTTATTGCATGAAATATTTGAAATAGCTGAAGTTTATAAGCTTATAAAGTATAAAATAATGAGATAATGATTAGGTTAAATGATTACAGTAGGTAAGTATCAGGGGACATTAAGTTTTTAATAGGAAAATTCTTATGTACGATGTTACAATTTAACTGAATTAATTTTATCTTAATGTTTTATATCATCACAAAAATTCTTAGTTTTATATTGTCACAATACATAAAGTAACATTATTTCCAGGAGTAAGAGCACCACAGAGCTTAACTATGAATATATGTATATAACATTAGGACTCTTCAAATATTCATCAAAATTTATAGAAAAAAAAACAGAAATCAGTGTTCTTCGTAGATTTTTGCAGATGATGTTAATCTGATTCTTCGCTCCTGGAGTAAGAGCTATCACAATATTCAGCAATGTAAAGGAATTTATGAATATTTGGATTCATCTTCGGTATCCAGTGTCGGGGAACCAGGTATGTTGAAAGATTAAATAAATCTACAAATACCTTGTACTTGTCACTGGAAAAACACATATATACAGATGTTTTATTGACATGAAACTTTAAAATTTCCCATAGAAAAATTTTATTTTTCAGATAATGATATTTTGCCATAAATAATTAGTATGCAGCATTATATTATACATTACATGTTATTATATCTATATTTTATTAAGTAATATTAATATGAAAATTGCCTCATTTTTAGTCTGCATCCAGAGTTCATGCCCACATAACAGTATTATGTGTTTCACTGATCCTGCCCAGTCTGGTTCATATTAAAAACTAGAATTTTATTATTGTCATAGTAACTTTATAAAGACAGTGGAAAGTTTATTCTTGTTTCTGACTTTAAAAGGAAGGTATGAAAAATAATACATTTAAATCATCAGTGTTTTCAGCTGTTCATTAGAAAATATTTTTTACCTGCAAAGTAGCTTCCAAGTAACTGACATGAATGGGTTAATAAATCAAAATCCCATCTTAGATTCATAACAAATGTCTGTAAGAATGGTTTTAACACTTAAACTTGCTTTCGTGTTTGTCGACTATTTTAACTGTTGTAGTTTTATATCAGAAGAACATTTGCTTTTAAAGTCAAATCCTGTTCTGTCAGAAGAACATTTGCTTTTAAGGTTCAAATCCTGTTCTGTCACTTGCAAGTTATGTGACCTTGGACAAGTTGTCCAAACCTCAGTGTCTTGGTTTCTAACTCTATAAAATAAAAACTACAGTCCCTTCCTCTATCCAGGCCCTTGTGAAGATTCGATGAATTAATGACACACTAGAAATGCTGTTTGTGTTAATTATTCCCACCACCCAATGATGTCCTCATTTTGTACAACCATTTTTACTCTTTCATACTTAGAGAATTTATTCCCAGAGAAAGAGAAAATATGTACCTATTGTGAAAATTCACACCGATGAATTTTCTAAATCATTCAATCTAGAGTTTCTTCCCAAGGAAAGTAAAATATAAAAATGATGAAAAACTGAACCTGTGTATTTTATAACTTAGTCAATCTGGTTGGTAAGAGTAGGGATGAAAAACTATACTAAAAAGAATTTTGGAGACTAAATGTGAATAACATTCTTGAGCTGATTCTCTTATTTCAAGGGGCCTTGTAAATTTCCCAGTTTTCAGATGAATCTTTATATATAATCTGTCATTTGAATATTAAATAAAATAAGACAAACATAATAAAATCTTTCTAGCATGTTTTAAGTGCTCAATAAATGTTGAGCTTTTTCTTGTGAAAACATGAAAAAGGACCCTTTTGGAGAAGATGGAAGTAGTTTTTATGCTATAAGATAGAGTCATATCAGGAAACATGAGACTGTTTTTTATCTGTGTCATTCATATCACCAAGAAGACATTAGTATACTTAATGATAACTGTTTTAGTCTAGCCTAAACTTTAGCCAGAATGAGTTGAAAAATTTTCTACTTGGATCATTTCTTCCGTGTCCTCAGAGATCATGTAGCCATGAATACCATGTCTCTTTCATCACAGGATCAAATGATGAACTTCCAGAACTAAAGATTTTTACAATGACTGCCAGAGTTTCTAATAAAAATACCTTAACCTAACTTTAAATGTTTTGTCAGCCAATAGACCAAGTATAAATGACTTTTCCTAGACAACACACATACATATGGAGAAACAAAGACTTGCTGATTTCCATCAAGATAAAAAGGTGAATTTTCCCCCATCTTACCTTACTGTTGAGCGCAGGTACTGGTAGCCTGATGACCCACCTGTGCCACTTTTGCTACCCAGCATTCTGTGCACCAGGCACACATGGTTATCTAGGCAAACACGCAAATTAACTCCATGGATATTTTTCTGCCATTAGTTCTAAAAACAAGGGGCTGGTAATGGTTATTGCTTCTGGGAAAAGGCTCATATCTTATCACTTAGCCATATGGAAGGTTCACGTGTGAGAGCCAGATGAGACCAGCAGGTTGCCTGGCAGCCCGCTTGGTTCAGGCTACATGGATCTGACTCTGTATTTACAATTACCTTATGAACACAGTAGGGGAGAACAAGGATACATTATGACTTTCATGAGCTCTGGTCATTTTGCTTTTATGGGTCTCTTCCTCCATTAAAAAATTTTTCTTAATTATAATTATTTTAAAATTATATTGGTATACAGATGAATAGATTACTCTTATATATTAAAACATTTGCTTGGATCTAAAGTTTATTTTTTTTTCTGATTACCAAATAAAACATTTTCATGGGCCCCAAAAGTTGCCTTGGGCTCTAGGCACTGTGCCTGTTGTGTATACTGGGTAAGTAGACCCTGGGAGAGAGTAATTGTTAAGCTAATTAAACATACACGTTACACACCAAACACAACACACACAACACACAACACATCACATACACAAAAGGGGAAAGAAAGGAGAACAGGAAGAAGGATAGACAGAAGGAGAAAGGGAGTAAAAGAACAGGATGCGGGGAGAAGAATTATGGGGTCAGGATGAGAGGGAGGACTTACATCTCCATTTAGTCATGAGTGTGTCAATGTCCATAAGAGAAGTCAGCAACTGAAAAGGGACCTGGAATCTAGGTTCTTCCCTAAAAGAGAAATAAGAAGGAATCTAAGCAAATTTAGTGTGTTAAGAAGAGCATGTGTTTTACAATATCAACTTTGCCTCTTAGGCGCTGTGCATTTCTGCATTACTCTCCGAGTCTTAGTTTTTCATCTCAAAAATGGGGGTACTACCACTCAGCTTACAGTGTTTGTTTGAAGAGTCTAAAATATCCATGTAATATACAGGAAGTAACGAGATTGAGTCCCACCTAACATCAGTTCTCATTAAAAGGCAGACATACACAATCTCAGGTTTCACAGCTAATATTAGTCAAAAAGGTCTTCCAAGCAAAGATATTAAAACAGAAAAAAAAAAAAAAAGACTGCTTTTTTTTCCTCTAAAAAATGTGTTTTGTATGTATTTTTTCCCTTTTCTTCATCTAATCCTTCAACTCAGTACAAGTTCTGCTTAAGATACGTAAGCTTGAGTGGCATACTTTTAATAAGAATTTAGGAAAAGAGTAAAAAATTTTGATTATGTTGCCATTCTAAGGAAACAGATTTGAGAAGATTAAAAATTAAATAAAAGTAAGACATCCAGCAAATGGGTATTTTCACGAGTGTGCTATTTTTGCTAGTGTTCTGACTCATTTAATTCATGATACATGAAGATGAGACCTTCAAATATATAAAATAGGAGTATGTGGACATTTAAGGGTCACCTCAAATGTATTAAATAGTGAAGACAATTTTACTTGAAATTATTGAATAAGAATAGTTTATAAGGTATTTTCAATTTATCCATTCTTTTTTTTAAAATATAAACCAGGAATAACTACAACATTGTTTAATGACAGAACACATTTCATGACTGAATTTCTGTAGCAAATTAAACTTTAGCCTTTTAGAATTCTTAATGTCTCATGTAATAGAATATAAGGATATTTGGTTAATTTGTGTGAGTGGTTTTTTTTAACCAACTACAGAGATACAATTATACTCTTACTATGTAAAAGAAAGAAAACCTCATAAAACCTCACAATTTATTTTCTAAACTTTCCTCCAAAACTAAATGACTTATTAAAACAATGATTGCAATGTATAAGCTTTATACTTGATATATTATTTATAGCCAATCCTCACTTTTAATTTTTACTTCTCTTCTAATTTGCTTTTACCTGTAAAAATAAATCATCAAGGCCCCCTGAAGTGCTCTGTATGACAGTCGCCTTTCACCTGCAAGATACACAGCAAGTTTCAATAGGTCATTTAGGGTAGTCATATAAATTTGGCACCATTGCCTTAAATAATTGTTATATGTTTTTAAAAAACAATGTAAGTTTTAGTTTAACAATTTTAGCCCTTAGCTTGAAATTGGAAAACTATCATATCAAACATTGTTTTCATACTGGATTTTAAAAGGGAAACAAATATATATGTACACATATATATATATCATATTTAAATTTTGAGAATTTAAACTGTATATATATCTCAAAACATTTTTTGAATTCTCAGAACCTTTAAATTCATATTAGGAAAATCTGGTATAGAAAATAATTAACTTCCATGATAGAATGTATTTTCCAAGTAAAATAGTGTGACGACTTCCTTTTATAAAGTTAAAAAGGACTTATTCTAAGTTTCATTTGAAAGTACTTTTCGCTGATTCACTTAAAATTACTTAAATTACTTAAAATCACTTGTCTTCAAGGAACATAAACATTATACAAAATCTCGTATATGTTACAACAAAAGGCTTTGCTCTGTCTGCGGGAAAATAAGACTGCTATTCTTTACTGAGGTTTGATAAAAAACAGGCTAATGACCTTTAAGATTACAGATTTTCATACTAATTTCATATACTGCTATGCCTTATACTTAAATTCACAAAAAAATGTTTCCAATTTGTATAGGTACTTTATAATAAAAGTTCTAAATAAAAATGAGCATGAGTTTCAAACAGATAAACAATAAAGATATTGATTGTATTGGTCAATTAGTTTCAGAATATAATAGCTCAGTATTAATAATGCCAGAAGTCCCAATGTGTGCTTTTCCTGGTCTGCTTGGGAAACTAATTTCCTTACCTAAGCTCCCCTCACCTTTACAATGGAGTTATTCTTTCTCTATCCTACTGTTATCATAGTATATTGCAATTACAGGGTTGTCTTCATTTCCGTATCTATTAGGCTGAGAAACCATATTCCATGTATCTTGCTAGCCCTCACATCTCACATATTATGAAAGTTTCTACCAATGTCTTTGAGATAAGCTGGGCGTTTAAACCTGTTAATATAGGGTTATCATAGATACTATTAATCCAATCTTGTTTCTATGAATGGAATGTCAGTTTTCCTTTTATTTTTCACAAGTAAGGTTTGATCTTTTGGTCTCACAGTAGTACACTGCAGGGAAATGATAATAAAGAAAATTATTACCTCTACTCATATAACATCACTCACCTTTACTAAGGAGATTCTCTTGACGTTTCTCATCAAATAAAGAGAGTAATATCTCTTTTCGTTGCTGAAATTCAGCCATTTGTTCCTCTTTTTCCTCTGACTCTTCCTTAGCCTTTGGGGGAAATACTGCATTAATATTCTCATTAGAGAGAATAGATTCTTATTTTAGAAAACATTGCTTGTGAAAAGTAGACTCACAAGGTGCAGAAAGGGTATACTTGGATATGTACTATTTACTATTATAACTTGGAAATTATAGCTTATAAAAAGGCATCTTTCTCACACTATTGTTTCTATCCTATTTCAATTTAAGTGATCTGTTAGTCTAAAATATTCTCAATAAATATCATGAGAAATGAATTCATTGGGTACAGTGGTCAATAATGATCTAATTTTTGACAGAAATTATTTAACACAGGAAGTAAAGTGCTTTCACTTAAGAAAAGTTAAGAATTTCTGGTTAGGAAAACTATTAACTCTATTGAAATTCTATATTCAGTATTGTATTCTGTAAATATAATGTCTTAGAGATATTTTACCATTATATTTTTATTCATTTGCTATCTATTGATTTGTTTAGGAAAATTTTTATTTTTCTTCCTACAACACATGCTCTACTTGCCACTCGACTAATTAGGCTGGAGAAAAAATTAATTAACCTGATTATCTTCAATTCTGCAGAACCACACTGTGTGGTAAGAACTTGTATGTAGATTATTGCCAATTAATTATTCATTTTTGCAGCAAATGTCATGCTAAGGTGATAGAGATAAAATTGTGAGCAAAAATTGAATCCCCTGATCTTATGCAGTATAATGTCTGGGGGAATAAGACATTGAACAAATAATCATTTGCAAATTAAATTGCAACCATGGACACAAAGGAGTGTCCTATACCATAGAGTGGCATACAGGAGCAGTTTAGTACCATGGTAACAGATTAGTAAGGAGATCAGGAAAGACATTCCTGCAGAAATTTTCCTCAAGCCAAGACCTGAAGGTTGAAAAGAAGTTACCTGGGGAAGAACATTCAAAGCCCTGAAAATAACACATAAAAAGACTCTGTGGTGGTAAATTTGAAGAACTAAATTCAGTTTAAAGAAATGTATCATGTTTTGGTCACATGAGATTACAAAATACCTTTATCGTTATCCTGAAAACAATGGGGAGATATCAAAGTGTTTTATGCAAAAGCAAAATATAATCAGATTTGAATTTTTGAAAGATTGCTCAAACTGCAGTTTAGAGAATAAATTAGAGCTATATTGGGGAGCCCTGTTAAATAGTTGAAAAACTACTATTTTAGTCTAGGTGAAAACAATGACAGTTTGCACTTGATTGGTAGTGGTAGGTTAGAGAGAAATAGTTGACTTACTTAGAAGATTAAGTTAGTAGCATTTGGTGGTAACATTTTGTTGATTGCTAAAGAAAATGGAGTGCAAAAAGATAAGTTTTGCGAGTCCTACTTGACAAACTATATGGTTTACAGGAGAAAAACTTGAAGATCAAGTTGATACAAGGCTGTATGGAAGGGGAAATTTTTTAGGTTTTGTTTTTATCAGTGTGTTTTTGAGAGGACCAGGAGGAAATATAAATTAGGGTGTTAAATATATGTTCTGAAGTTTAAGAAGATATCTATGCTAGAGGTAAATGTTTAAGAACTATTGGTGTATAGGTATACATTGAAGCAGTAAGTATACATGAGTTCATTTAGAGAAAGAGCACAGAGAAAGGATATAAAGGCTATAAGCCAATGCTTTGGGAAACCTTACAATTTATTGGTCTGAGGGATAAAAATGAGCCAGTAAAAAATAAGGCCCAGAGAATTAGATAAAGACAGAATATTGTGTACTAAATCCAAGGGGGAGGAGAGAATATTCAAGAAAGAGTAAATAGTAAATAGTATTGAATGCCACTGTTAGCTCAAGTAAAATGGAGATAAAAAGTGGCCATTGGATTTATGAACATGGAGGCCATTTATGAACGATGGGAGAAAAAATGATTGATTAGTTCAAAAAGGGAAGATAAATAATTATGCTAACTACTGTTCTAAATATTTTACAAATATTAATCTCATTAATATGAGGTAGATACTTTTATTTTCTGTTTTACCAATGATGGAAGTGAAGCAAAGAGAGTTAAGCAGCAGAAGTTCGATGTCACGCAATTAAGAAATGGAGGTGGGATTTGAACCCATGCACTGTGATTTCAAAGTCTCTGTTTTCCATACTACCTGCTACAGCTTCACAAGACAGAAATGAAACAACTCTTTCGAGACATTTAGTCATGAAAAGAGGATGAGTGGCCTATAATTTGAAGAAAATGAAGAATTAACAGTATTTTTTTAGTGAGAAACTTGACATTGTCTGAGAACCGGTAGAAAGAACTCAACGAATATATAAGAGCCAAGGGAAAATTGTATGGCTAAATATATTTGGCTAACTGGTCCTTTGTGAGTCTACTGCTATCTAAAATTGGTCATAATCAACATTTTTAGAATAGAAATGACAAATATATTAATCTCATCTATTTATCAAAGATAAAATCTTGCCTATAATAAACTCCTTATTTTAATTTTTATGGTACATAAAAAAATTAAATCTGTCATGTAATATATTCTAAGCAGATGAATTTGTGAAATAAACATAAGAAAATGAAAGTTAAAGGGAAAGTAGAGAATTGTTATAATTCCCAATACTTTTCTATAGTAAGCTTATATTTACTTATGGAATCATGAATACCTGAATTTTTGTGAATTCTTTTTGTAGGCCTTCGACAATATTTTTTTCAAACTTTCCCCAGAAGTTAAATCCATGCAGCTCTAGACCTGGAGTTCTTTCCAGCCATGCCTTGAATAAATATTATTTTAAAATGAGTACATAGTAAAAATTTAAATATGTAAAATACATTTTAACTAACATTTATGAACTTGGAACAGAAAATTTTCATGTTTTTGAGATATAAATGTAATGTTTTTTGTGTGTAAACGTGTTCTTTTTCCCTTCAATTTCTTCATTTAAAAATAACAATATATTGTATTTCATCTCTTAATCTTTAAGGCAATCATGTTACTAATATTTACTCTTTACTAAGAAATATATTATTACAGAAATCCCAATTTTGTTCTATAAACCTATGAACGTGTCTAAATATTGTTTTAATAAAGTTTATGGTTTATTTTCAAAATACTTTATGTCTTAGTATCTGAAGGAATTATGACATGCATAATAATATATGATCTCTTCTAAATGCAAGAGCATGGTATACTTAACAACTTTGAAATAAACTGCTCAATTATTTTAAGATTCCACAAAACTTTTTAATCTAGAAATAAAACATAATTCATGCATCTCTGTGGGTTCTCATTTAACCTATTTTGGCTTTGAAATTAGGTTTGTGATTCTTTTTCTCCCTAGCTTTATAAGCTGTTATATAGCATTATATGTTAATCTTAATTTACAGTACCCAGGATTTGTGAAGGAACTCAAGACCATACGATACTTATTTAATAATTTACTTATGAAAAAACAAATTAATTATTCCCCAGAACTATTTATAGACCTACAGGGAATTAAGACATGAAGGAGAAAATTCTCAAGAGTACATACTCTTAATAATTTCATTTGAGAAAAATACACAACTCATGGAACTCTCGATTAAGAAATATTTTGAAGAAATAAAGCTTATTCAGTAATTTAACCACACTTAGTTTAAAAATCAGCTAATTAAATGTTACTTAGTATGAATGTTTAAAGGATTATTTTAATAAGATAAGGAAGTTATTAAATAGTAATATGTAATTGCTTATATCAATATTTCTAAAATTCTCAACAGTTCTTAATATTTTAAATATTATTTTAAATATAAATATACAAATTTACAAATTTTTTTAAATTCTTTTTTATTTACAATGAATGATACCAAATTTTGATATGAGTTTTACAATTTTTACCTAACAGAAACTAAGTTAACAAGATGTATTGAAGTAGACTGTAAAAATAGTATTTGCGCATGTACCTCCACTAGTTGCAGAAGTGTTTTTTCTTGCTGGGACTTAAGCAGCAGGTCATTATCTTCTCCTTTGAAGTTATGGTAATGTCTTTTGTTGTAAGGAACTTGCAAACGCTGAAGAACACCTAACTTGTTTTCTAGTAGTCGGAACTGCAAACTCTGGAAGCCTGATGCTAGAGATAAGTACTCTCTGAGAATAAATGGAGGAAGGGAAGAGAAGAAAAAGGCGAGATAAGTTGACATTATAAATTACTGTAATGATTTCTTGTATTGTGAGAGATTGTCAGTTTTACTCTCCTACATATTATCAAGGATGCAGACACACAACTGCCTAGAGTTGGACCTATAGTTAGTTCAGACCTTACTAAAATAAGGAAAATGAGCTACTTAAACATCATTGTTGATGTCTGTCAATCAATTTAAATTTGACATGTTTGTAGAGTTTGCAAAATGTGTATGTGTATGTATGTGTGCTAATTTGTTTTTCCTAAAATAAAGACAGATGGACATTGAGCAATATTTTTTCAAGATTGTTTATAAATTATAAATAGTATTCGATCCCTCCTAAAACTTACATTCTTGGATATTATCACTGATTTCACCACCTAATATTATTATGAGCAACGATGAGATACCACAAGTAAAATGAAGGGGATATTGACTAGGACAAAATAAACAATTAAAATATGTTATTACTCCTACCCTACACAACCACTCAATCTCATAATTTTTTAAATCTACCACAAAGGCATTCTGTTACATTTCTTTTGATTGTGAAACATGTTGGACTGCCTATTACATCATTAAATGCAGCGAATGTTCTAAGAAAATTTATCTTCGAATTTGGTATGGCTTTGGCTGCTTGGAAATGTAGAGTTAAAAATTATAATTCAATCCATAACTTATACTAAATGACGCTTTTGCTGATATCTTTCTTTATATACCACTCTTTTTTCCCCCCATTTCTCTACATTCTCTTCAAAACGTTTTGTCTATCTTTTCGATTATAGACATCCTAGTGGATGTAAAGTGGCATCTCATTGTGATTCTGACTTTCATTTTCCTTGGCTATGTTTATATTGCTCAAATATGCTTGTTCTCCTTATAAGACTGACATTTTGAAGGAAGCAGACACTTTTAGCAAGTTTATGTAAACACGAAAGAGTGACTATGATGATAAGAAAAAAAGAGCTACATGTTTCTCTTTCAGGCTTGGGGAAATCCAATTAACCCTTCCACTAAAGATACCCTTTGCATTTTTTTAGCCAGTTAAGATGTGTCAGAGGAAGACAGTATTCTTTTCATATTTTTCTCATAATAGAAGCTGAAGCATGTAGATTATAAAATGAAATATTTATAAATAATAAACTAAAAATCTAAAATAATTTTTTAAATGACAAAATAATACTGGAGTTAATTCACAATGGCAGAGGTTCTCTTTCGTCTAATATAGTTCCACTCTTGTTCCTCTTTTATTTTAAGATTTTATTTTTAGATTTTTTTAAAATTTAGTTATATGTATGATATCAGCCATTTTAGCCATTTTGATAAGTTGTTTAAAATTCACTTTGGATAAAAACAAGGCACAACAATGAATTGAAATGACTTGATCATATTATGTTTATATGTTAAAGTGAGTGATGAAATGTTTTTCATAACTTTTCAAATGCTTTGTAATTAAGACTCCCAAGCGCTGATAGTACAAAGCGTCAGTAGGACAGTCTCCTCATGTCACACTTGTTCGCCTTGTACCTCACTCAGGTGAGAAGGTAAACCACAGTGCATGAACACAAAGCCACAAATGCACACCTGAAGTCATTGAAGTCCAAGGCGGCCATCGTTTCTAGAACGGAAAACTGCTGCACCAGTAGTTTAAGGATCACTACCATGCGATGCACTCGAGTAACAACCTTCAGCATGTTCCTTTCATCTCTGAGCTGATGGTTAAGAAATGAGACAGTGGATAATCAATTCTGATTTCTAGAAGATACAAAATAGACTGCAACGGTAATGCATTCCTATTAGTTTCATCTCTGTTAAAAAAAAAAAAAGGAACATTGGAACTAAAAATTGCTATAAGAATATGTTGAACTAATGGCAGCTATGCGTTGTGTGCAAGAAATGAATGTAAAATCAGAATTATTTTTCTTTCTTTTAAAATAGAAAATTACATGCAAACAATTTAAAAATAAATTCTGGAACACAACACACTGATTTTAAAGTAAATTTCTCCTTAAGTTTGCTCCAAGGAATAAAGATCAAGGTAACATGGAAACTTCTGGGTGAGGATTAAGCAGTACCTGAATAAACCTGCTCTTTACTGAGGGAGTAAGTAGCCATTGACATAAAAAGGAATTGTATTCACATATAAAAGAAGAGCGTTGTCTGTATGAATGTTCTCTTTTCCCCAGCCCGTCCTGAAGCAGGGGCTCAGAGGTAGAGGACCTCAGGCTGGGTCCTGTGTCAGGAGGGCTGTGGGAGCAGGAAGCAGGGTGGGAAGTAGGAAAATGCAGTTCAGACTTCTGCCACCTCCGAAGCTCTGCTCTGTTCTCCTCCCACTCTGATCCTCTCTGTCCTTTGTCCTCCTCTCTCCCTTGATTCTTCTCTTTTTCTCCTCCCTGCTACTCTTTTCTCTTTCTCCTCTTCCTGTTCCACTTTCCTCATTATTTTCTCCTATCTTCACACAGCACATACTCATTAGAAATACAATTCTGGTACCTATTTATTAAAGGCTCTATATTCGCTAGTCTGGCAACCTATCATCATATGAAACAACTTTTCTTAAGGGCAAAAAAAAAAAAATAAGTTCTAAACAAGGGGCTTGAAACTGAAATTTGAAAGGAATCTTAAAGCAATGTGTAGCTCTAGGGTAGCAATGGTGCTGGGAAAATATGATTAAAGCCTTGTCCTCAAAATAATTTTTTTCATCAAGCAATAATTTCACCATTTGATGTTAAATTTTTCTCATTAATACTATTTTCTATAATCTCCAAAAAGAGTATAAACTCAATATTGTGACACAAGAACTCACATGGCCATTTTGAAAGATCTCTCGAACAGAATCTAATTCCCAGAGGATTTGTTTAAACCAGAGTTCATAAGCTGCAATGAAAAAACCATTGTCATCTGGAAAGTTTTAAGAGCCTCTTTGACCATAATTATATAAAAGACATGGTTAACACATTGAAAATAATAAAAATGTAATTTAAAAATCAATAAATACCAATATTGCCCTATTTTATGCTATAACCAAATATTAGTAATAAACTTATAATAGCCTCCATTTATTGAATGTTTTAATATGCCAGGCGTATAGTCTATATGCTTTATATTTGTAATTATTACACTGATTTCCCTCAACAAATATATTGTTTAGATCTTTTAGGATATAGCACATAATCTAATTCTAACTTTCTACTGGAAGCTGGAGGTATGCAAAAAAGCAGAAGTAATACTCAACTTTATTTATAAACTGAAACATCAGCATTTACTCACCTAATGTATATGACAAAGTTTTGGTTTCTAGGGGCTTAGAATATTATGGGAAGGACAAGTTTATGAATACTCTAAATCTGAAACTTTGTCATATTCATCTATTTCCTTCAGTACCTAGCATAGTGTTAGCATAAGATAAACATTGGATGATTATTTTATGAATAAATGAATTAAATAACCAATGTAGTCATTAGATAAGCATAGAAAATCAATAATCTTAGAGGATCTCTAGAGCATTCTATTTAGTACTATTATAAGGGTAAAGACTATGTTTCTGTACAAATAAGCAGAAATTATTATATTTTAAATTACATTTAAGGAGACTTTATAGATTGAATTTTCATATTTGGACAAAGAGTAAATCAGTTATTTATTAATTTATTTAAACTGGTTTCAAGTATACAGTACATTGATTAGACATCTATATAGTTCATACAATAATCTCACCAATTGTTCCCCCCCAGGCCCTCCACCTAGCCATCATATTAATGCTAACTGCATTCCCTCTGTCATGCTCCCCATCCCCTTAACCAACTATCAACTACTAATTTATACTTCTTTAACCCTTCACCCCATTCTCTCAGCCCCCAACTCCCCTCTCTGTCCATCACCAAATTGTCCACTATATTTGTGAGTCTGTTTTTGATTAGTTTGTTCTCTTTGTTCCTTAGATTCCACATGTAAGTGAAATCATATGGTATTTATCTTTCTCTCTTACTTATTTCACTCAGCGTAATACTTCTCAGTCCATCTATGTCATTGCAAATGGTAGGACTTCATTTTTTTTAATGGCTGAGTAATATTCCATTGTATATATGAACCATAATTTCTTCATCCAATCATCTGTTAATGGGCGTTTAGGTTGCTTCCATATCTTGGCTATTGTAAATTGTGCTGCCATGAATATTGGAGTGCATAGATCTTTACGAATTATTGTTTTGTTTTTCTTTGGATAAATACTCAGAAGTGCAATTGCTGGGTCAAAAAGTATACCCATTTTTAATTTTTTGAGGAATCTCCATACTGTTTTCCATAGTGACTTTATCAATTTACAATCTCACCAACAATGTATGAGGGTTCCCTTTTCTGTACATCCTCACCAACACTTGTTATTTTTTGATTTATTGATGATAGCCATTCTGACAGGTGTCAGGCGATATCTCATTGTGGTTTTAGTTTGCATTTATCTGATGGTTAGTGACAAATCAGACATTTCTGAATCTTTTTGTGTATCCACTTTTCTGTTTTAACTTCATGTGGCTATTACTATGACCCAGTGACTATATGTTGTAACTAAAGGATAGAAAAAAAGGCTCTCTATCAAATAATGATACCTATCATTTGTTGTCTGCTTATTATTATTGCTATACCTTAGGCTAAGTGCTTAATGCATATTATGTCATTTCACCTTCATAAGAACTCTATGAATGAGAAGGTACAATAATTCTCTCCATTTTACACATGGGGAAATGGAGAGAATTACTGGTCAAGAAACCATATCAAGGTCACACAATTTATAATGGTAGAGATGGGATTCTAAATACGTACTACTCTGCCTTAACCCTTCTCTACTGATTTTGCTTTGGTGTAAGCCACCAATAAAAATGTAAACATAAAAACAGGACAAGTAACACATTAAGCCAATCATTTTCCATCTTTAATTTGTTTACTCAGAGGAGTTGATCATTTTAGCCAGTCAGTGAAGCAAACAACTATTTGAGGAAAAAACACAAAAAATTGGTAGGGCAAGGAAACATGTCTAGAAATGGGGAATGACTGGCTCAGATCATTGGGCCCTTGCCAACCAGAGCACATGACATTATGACACCAATAATCTTAGAGTAAATCTTAATATTTTGGGGTCACAGACCTCTTTAGGACACATATTCATGAAATTTTGCACATGATTTCAAAGAGTTCACGGACTTTCTAAATTTCCAAAGTCATGAACTGCTATGTTAAAAACCACTGCCCAGAAGTTATAAGTCTGAAGAGGATAACCACACATTTTAGAAAAAATTTACGTTTCTGTTTAACATGTTTAGATTTATGTGGGATTATGTAAAGTATCAATCAATTTGAGTAGTCTATTTCTTGAAAGTAGTTTTTAAAGTTCCAAGTTGAAGAATAGTAACAGCTTGTAAATTCTTTATGAATTCGAAAAGATAAAACATCTCCTTGGATTTAGGACAAAGCTAAAGCTCAACTTGATCCAATTAGCAATGAAGTAACATAAATAAGACATATATCCCAGAAGTTGGTCCTATGAGAAATTATCTAACAGCAAAATATCCTCGAACATTTTTAACAAAAATGATTCTTTGATCTTTCACCATCTTTTAGTTAAAAGAATTGTAGCTTTCTTCATTATTGATGGGACGTGCCTATGGAACAAATATTATCTAACTTTTTGTGCAACATACCTTGATGAGTTATGATGAAAAGATGTTCATCATGGATTTTATTTCCTTTTATTTCACTTTGAAGCTCCTGTGCTTTCAAAATTTTTTCCAGCTTTAAACAAGGAAATAGAAAGACAGATTTTGTACAAACTTCCAGTTATAAGATAAATAATTTATAGGGATCTGATGTAAAGCATAGCAATGATAGTTATTAACCCTGTATTTTCTATTTAGAAGTTGCTAAAAGAGTAGATCTTAAATGTTCTCACCACAACAAAGACATAGTAACTATATGACATGCTAAGACATGTTTGTTAGCTAATGCTATGGTGGTAATCATATTGCAATATACAAATGTATTAAATTAACATGTTGTATGCCTTAAACTTCACATTATTCTGTCAATTATATCTCAATAAAACTAGAAAAAATTAAATGACTGATTTGAAATTGCAAAACTTGTTTTTTACTAACTTTAATAAGAGGAAGAATACAATACTGAAAAAATCCTTGAATTCTCAAATTCTCAGGATTCATTCTATTTTCTTTTAAATAATTAGTGAGTCTCATTGTGCATAATGAGCTAAATTTGTGGTTTTCATTTTTTCTGAAGAATTTTACATTTGGTGGGATTCTATCATAACAAACGTTATTACACTCGTTGTGGTCATGTTTCTTTTTTCTCTTGAGATGAGTATGATAAAAAGCTTAATATCTTGCTTAGCTGACTGCGTATCTTCCATTCTTCTACTTAAGAACCTATTCTAAGATCTTAACGTTCTTTATCAGCTCATTCTTAGAAATACACTGATGACGACATCAAGAGCTTGAATCATTTCACCTCTTAAAAATATGAAAGACAAATAGACTGAATCTTACTCCAGAATAATCTTCGAATACCTCATTTCTATCATCCCACTTTTATTTATTAATGATTTAAATAAAATATGTTCCTTTAACATTTCTACTATATAATAAAGAGTTTAAAAGAGAAAATTTTCTGGAATCATTTATAATTATGTAGGTTGAGATTTAGTGACCATGTCTTATTTATATAGGTTATACAATGCCTGCCAGTTATCTACACTAATCTTATTTATACTTTTCTGCTCAATATCTCCATTTACTTACTTCTTTTACTGTACCTCTGTTGGAGAGGTGAATTTTCATATGAGTCTCTTGAACATTTCAAGCAAAAAAAAATGAAAAACCATACATTTGTTGAAAAGATATCATTAGGTCCAGAAAACGATTTGATGACTGAGAAAAAAATAAAACAAACAAACAAACAACCCCCCCCCCCAAAAAAACATGAAAATGTCACTTAGCAGAATTTAGTGCCCAACAATAGAAGCTAAACACTGTAAGACACTCAGCCACTCACATGCAGATAATTGCCATAGTTAAGTCCTTCTTTGCTGGCTCTATTTATACCGGTTTGTGATTTGTCTTCTTCACTGCCTTCTAAAGAGCGTTTTTTAAAATCATATCTGAAGATTAAATAAGTGAAGAGAAAAAAATGGAACTTGAGAAAGCACAGTAGCTAATAATATGAGTGATTAAAATTCTCTTAGATTATTAATCAAGGGAACAAGGGAGACAGTTTTCAAATGCTCTCAAAATTCAGAAATTAAAGTGTCATACTTGGCATTTTTAAGAGTCTCACCATACATAAAATACAGGTAAATACTTACCCAAATTTATCTCGTAAAAATGGGCAGCCACTCATAGTGAAAACGCACTGTCTGAGAAACACCAGAGTTTGGTTCTGGCTGAAGGATATTGACCCTCCTAGATGTTCTACTGCTGCCTTTTATTTATCCTACTCACCTTGAATCTGCCAATCAGCCTTCTCTTTGTACTCCTAGATAGACTCTCATTTCAATTGGTTGAACCTCTGTAAACTTCAGAATGGATTTACTGTGGAAACAGTTTGTTTGCTAGAATATTAAATATTCTGTCAAACCAAATCATTTGACTTCCCAGGTTCTATTTTTGTATCCAAAGTAGCAAACATTAAATAAATAAATAAATGGAGGTTAAGTCTTTAAAAAAGATATCTAACTATTCTATTTCAAAAACACATTTGGCATAATGTTAGGATATGTAAGATGAGGAGCTTGTAAAGTACTAAATACCTATTCTCTCAGTCTCAGGTGTGGATATTCTTAGAACTCCTAAGCCAAAAAAACTAAACTAAACTGTTAAGCTAAATTTAGAAAGTGAATAGGAAACTAAATTAAACTAAACTGTTAAGCTAAATTTAGAAAGTGAATAGGAAACTAAACTAAACTAAACTGTTAAGCTAAATTTAGAAAGTGAATAGGAATTTATTCCTTCAGCCATCACCATTTTGGTTTCCAGCAACAGGGCATGTGTAATCTGCTGTGGAATGTTACATTACCTTCTGTCACATCACCCTCATTGCTTAGGACCACAGCAACTCCCACCTCCACCCTGTAACCCCATTATTTACATTTTTCTTACTCAATAGCTAGAGATTGCAACAGACTCAGAAACCCTAAGCCCAAAGGGGTGTTCTCATGAATAAATGATTCAGCATCTTATTTTTCAGAAGATAATTCAGAAAGTACTCTGCACTTTTCTCCACATATTGTTGAGGAATGCCCAGTTGTTCACGGGGTTGACCTCAATATTGAATCCTTATTTTGGCCTTTTGTCCTTCCCTTCCTGTCTCACACTCCCTACTCTCTCACCATTTCCTGAGAACACCTCTCAAATACCTTCTCACCACACACTTCCTTATCTCAAATTCTGCTTTGGAGAAAGCCAAACTAATACATAGGTCTCTTATTCATCATGAGATCTAATACATTTAGGAACTGAATAATTACTTTTTGGTCTTTGAAAATATTTTTTCTTTCCAAGAAAAGGAAGTTCCATAAACATAGCAGCCATTCAATAGGCCATTCATTTAGTTGATATGGTTTATGGCTATTTGTTATATGAAGTGGGCCTTTGTTTTTGTTTTGTTGTTAATGTTTTGTTTTATTTCTATAGGCAGGAGTTTGCAGAGAAACTAAAACTCCTTAGTTGAGATTTAAACTTAGTCTAACAAGTAGGAACTTTTCGAAGTCTCTTTGATAAAACCCAAGAATGTCCATCAACAAGTAATGTTTGTTCAGCTGTAATTATTATGGCAGAAAAAAAAAAAAAAGCAGAAACCAATAGGACACCAATTTTAAGGGAAGGAGTACTGGTGTTGCTAATTATGCGACTATTTCTTACTTCTGTGTGAATTTTGGATGACTAGTTTCCAAGGAAAGAAGAAAAAAACATTACAGGAAGCTGTTTTTACATAAGGTTGCTCTAGGTTATTTTGTAGAAAATTGTCCTGTCTCACACAGCAAAAGTATCACAAAGGAGACAGGAACCAGGGGACCTTTTTTTACCCTGGGCTATGGAATGTGGTATTCGTGGAGATATGCTTACAGATAAACATATTTTTCTCTTATTTTCCTTACTTATTAAAAACCATGAACATTATAAAAACAATTCCATTGATATTTTAAACATAAGTTGTAATTTCAAGCACAAAGTTATAAAAACTGCTTTTGTCCACAATTGATGGTGCAACGTATTGAAAAAACTCCAATCAACATTTTAACATTCACTTTTTCCCCAGGTTAAAGGTGATACGTTGCCATTTAAATTTTGTCAAAAATCATGCTTTTTATTATATAACAATAAAATTTTTTAGATTACTGTACTATTTGTAAATGATGATTTAAATAATCTGTATAGAATGAATTGTATTAAAATAAACTTTATAATATAATCTTCATGTATCATATAATTTTAAAAAGTACTAAGAGCACATAACTAAAATTATGTGTTCAACCACATTAAAATCAATAAAATTATGAAAAAGTTTAGAAACTGTAGTCATAATATATAGTTTGAATCTTATGAAATTTTTGCTTTTGTGAGTCAGAATGGTTGAACGCCAGCAATTTCATATGGTCCACCTTATAACTATTCAAGTAATAATGCGAAACAAAAAAATATTATTAAAGGGGCTTCTGAGTTAGAAAAATTTGCAAAATGCCCTCATAAACAAATCTGTTCTTCAAAGGAGAAGAAAGAAGCAAAATCTAATACTTAACAGGATAAATGCATATCTTGAAATATTTAACAAAATATGCATAATGCCTAAACTATTAGCAGAGAACCAAAGACTTCATATTCTTACAACAGATTCTATAATTTTCAGATTTCATTTCCCATCACTTCCCATCAAAACACCTCATAGTAAATCCAGAGCACAGAGACTAAGTTCTGAATCTCCTAAATGCTCCATGCTTACAGTGATCTTCCTACCCCTCCACCTACTGATTCCTTAAGCATTCTTTGAAACACATTTTAAATAGCACTTCCTCTCTGGCATGCTTTCTATGATATCTTCAGTGGAGTAATTTCTTCCTTCCTCCTCGGTGATTCCACAAGGCTTTGTGTTTAAGTACTTTGCACTTGAATCTTTTGCACCTGTCAAAGAGCCAGGTAAATAAGGACACAACAAACATTCTCAGCAAAAGTGGACCTCATCTTTCCATCACTGTTTGTTCAGTCAAGGCAAAGATAAATTTAAAAGCTCAGGTAACTAGTAGCGAAGTAGCAGGTTGTTAGTATTTGGAAACATGGGAAAGAATGAGCATGGATAATTTAGGAAGAAAGTCAATAAGCTTTGTTTTAAAATGATGAAGCGTTAGATCCTATGGATTGTATATTTATACCTAATCTTTGCACACAGGCTAGTCAGTAAGTCAAGAACTCGTTGTCCCGGTGCAGTTAACGATCTTCGGAGCATTTTGAATTCTCATGTGTCCAGGATTAAATTGATCACTCCCAAATAATCAGCCAATATGTGTGAAATGATTGGCACAAATGGATGGAGAAAGTTCAATAAAGAGAAAGAGACAAGAATTACACTTTTGTAATGCCTACTGTATGCCATACATTACGCTAAGGTCATTCCTTATGATTATTCATTTAGTCCTCTGAGAACTGAGGCTACTGCATCTGCTGGAATCTGGGGGAGAAGAATGCCCCCTTTCTACCTTCCTTTAGTTTCATGGCTGGAAAATAATAAAACAATAAAATTGATGCAACACTAGATTGACAGGAGAGCAAAAGAACAACTTCATACACGTGCATGGGAGAATCACAATGTGATGCTCAGATCACAAAATGAATCTCAAAGAAATGATCGAACTAGGCACCTTCTTCTCCTTTTTAGACAAAGAAACAATAAATTTGTGGGAAATTAACAGGTCAATAAAACTTGGTATTTTGAGAAAGAAATCTAAGCAAGATTTGGGCTTAGCTAACAAATTAATAAAGTCTTACAAGATTTGTTTATACTGACTTTTGTCACTCTGGATTTTATAACTCTTGTGATAAGATTGTCTCTCAGCCCTCAGGGAGAGTTATTTTCTGCATTTAGAGACACAGGATTGTCCTCTGCTGGTTTCTGCTGTTTCTGCTGTTTCTCAAGTGACTTTAATTCAAAATTATCAATACGCCATTGTGTGAGATCTTGGGGGGGTTACTCATCTATGGGCCCCGATAGTGGTAATTGACAGAGCTGAAATATAAACCAAAGACTCTCACTTTGAAGTCCCTGCTCTTTCTCCTACACAGATCCCCAGTTGTTGGACTTCGGATAGCATACTGCGAGATAATAGAAAATATATATTGGTGTCTGCCGCTAGTTCCTGGCACACAGCTCCTAAAACCCTTGTAATTTCCTGGGTGATAGGAGTATCTTTTGTTCTAATGAGGCTGACTCTGGGTGGGCTCCTGGATTGCTTCCGGATGAGGGATGGTCGCTGGAAAGAACAAGCCGTGATTAGAAGCTTAGAGTTTTCAGCCCACCCCTCCTCCTTCTCTTGAGAAAGGAGAAGGGCAAAAATGGAGTTGACAATCCATCAGGTCTATGTGATGAAGCCACCTTAAAAATCTCAGTACTGTAGATTATGGAAATGTTCTGGATTGATGAACAGGTGGAAGTGAGGGAAGAGAGGCACACTCAGAGAAGTCACAGAAGCTCCATACCTCATCCTACATACTTTTCCCCATGGACCTCTATTTGTTCATCTGTATCTTTTATCATGTCCTTTAATAAACTGGTAAATGTAAGTAAGTGTCTTCCTGAGTTCTGCAAACCACTCTAGCAAATTAATTGAACCTGAGGAGAGGGTTGTGGAAACCCCCAATTTATAATTAAATTGGACAGAAGTTGTGGGGAAACTCTACTTATGACTGGCACCTGATGGGAGCAGTCTTGTGAGACCGAGTCCTTCACTTGAGAGGGGAGGGGGAAGTCTGACACTATCTCCAGAGAGACTGTGTCAGAAGTGAATTCAATTATAGGAAACCCAACTGGCATCTAGCTTTCTTTCTCCTTCCCCTTGGATGCTTTATGTTCTTGCTTCTCCCATGTGGTTAGTTGGGAGCTCTTGGTGGTCTCTTTACCCTGTTGCTCTAGGGCAGAGCCTCTGCTTGTGAGGACCACTTCTTTCCTGTCCAGTAGCCATTGTCTGGTGGAAATACGAGTGGCCGCAAGCTCACCAGCCATCCGCTTTCTCCTGCTCTCACCAGATGTCCAGGTGGGATTTTAAAACCTGCATTGATTGCAATAACAGTTATCAGTAATTCTGGACAAAAAAGAAGAGAAAGAGACAGAGAGAATTGCTTGCTGTGGGGAAAAACCTCCACATATTTGGTGGCTAGAAGTGTTCTGTGTAAAAGTAAAGGTGACA